AGTATGAGTCTGATCGTACTAGGCACATCCTATTTCTCCCCGGCAGAATTGGTCGCTTCTCTCCAGCATTTATGTTTTTGGGGGTGGTTCCTTTGCATTTGCATTTTTGCATAGCATCCTCCCAAATGCGTAGCATTTCCATTTCGTATGGAGCATTACACCATTTTCAAACATATACATCTGAAGTATAAGCCATGATTGGTATCTTTAAGACTGTTTGTCTTTTCAGCAAAGACTGTGGTATTCAAGGGGTTTTCGTGTTATCCGTGTCAGGATGAATCTTTAGGTTATTCATGTCGTTGGATTATCCCCAGTCAGTCGTTTGGTTAAATGTCTTCGCTCTTCTCAGGTGAGTCGCTTGCGAGTGTCGTCTTCCCTGGTCGAGTATGTTGTTCAGATATATCTTTTCCCCAACAGAGTTATTTGGTGAACTGATGTTCCTTGGCAGAGTCGGTTGTTTGAACCTCTCTTTGCAAGTCGTGAGTCGGTTGATTCTGTTGCCTACCTGTTTTGGGCGCGTTATCCCAACTTTTGGTTGGTACTCCCCAGTGTAGTCCACATTATTGTGCTTGGTTCTTCAACTTTTGGTTGGTAATTTCGGGGATATGTTATTCAAACTTTTGGTTGGTAATCTTTGGTTTCCTCTGCAGAGTTATTCCCACTCTTGGTTGGTAATCTTTGCTTTATTCCAACTCTTGGTTGGTGACCCAGTGGCGTTTGGATGTTATTCCAACTTTTGGTGGTTAATCCTTATTTTCCTCAGCAAAGTCGGGGATTCTAACCTTTGGTTGGTACTCTCCAGCGTAGTCCAAATTATTGTGTTTGGTATTCCAACTCTTGGTTGGTAATCTCTGTTATTCTAACTCTTGGTTAGTAGCTTTTATTCAAACTCTTGGTTAGTAGCTTTTATTCTAACTCTTGGTTAGTAGCTCTTGTTCTGACTTTTGGTCGATGAGCATTTCCCCAGCAATCCTAACTCTTGGTTAGTAGCTCTTGTTCAGACTTTTGGTCGATGATAATCTGTCCTGAGGATCTTAACTTTTGGTTAGTAGCTTTGTTTCCCAAGTCTTGGTTGGATGTTATCCCCTGCAGTTTTTATCCTAATTTTTGGTTGGTGGTCTGTTGCTTGATGGGTTGTTGTACCAACTTTTGGTTAGTAGTCCTTCTCCATTCCTCAGCGGAGTTATTATCCTAACTTTTGGTTGGTAAGGTTTGGTTGACGTTTTCCAACTTTTGGTTGGTAGTCTTTGATTCCCCAGTAGGGTCGTAATATCCGATTTGGTCGTCTTGTTGACGTTTTTCTAACTCTTGGTTGGTAACCTTTGTTCTCTGGTCGTTGATTCCGACTTTTGGTCAGTATATCTCCCCAGCGAAGTCGTCTCGCCATTTAAATCTCGGTTAGTGTTGTGGTGGTTCCAACTCTTGGTTGGTTGTGTTTGATTTTTGCCCCGGAAAGTAACCTTTATCCCATCTTTTGGATGGTATTGTTCGACTTTTGTCCTTTGATAGATGTTTATCCCGTGCAGAGTCGTCCGGTAAGTCTACTCTTTTCCCAATGAAGTCGCCGCAAGGCTGTTGGGTTAGTTTTCTCTTTTGTTCCCCAACAGCGTTGTATCTCGAATTTTGGTTGGTATTTTGTGGGAGAGTGATCCTAACTCTTGGTTGGTATCTGTTGGTGGTTTCATCCCAACTTTTGGTTGGTATCCAGAGTTTATTATCCCAACTCTTGGTTGGTATCTGTTGGTGGTTTCATCCCAACTTTTGGTTGGTATCCAGAGTTTATTATCCCAACTCTTAGTTGGTATCTTTGGTTGTTTCCCAACTCTTGGTTGGTATCCAGAGTTTTTCATCCCAACTCTTGGTTGGTATCTTTGGTTGTATCCCAACTCTTGGTTGGTATCCTCTGTTTGCTAACCCAACTCTTGGTTGGTATCCTTTGACTGTTATCCCAACTCTTGGTTGACATCTTTTGGATGAAGTTCATATCGTGATGAATTGTAATCCTCAGCGTGTCATATTCCCAACTCTTGGTTGGTATTCGCTGTTTGGCATCCCCGTAGGGTGCAAATTTCCGGGTTCTTTTGTAATCAAGCACCTTATACCTTGAATGTTTGAAAGCGGATGCTTTTCCTCCCTTCAGATCCAAGTTGTTTGAATAGGGGCAGCTGTAGCACCCCAAAATTTGGCTTTCCGTTTTAGCAGCATCTAGCTTTTGCTTCTTTGAATTTTTGCATTTCTGCATTTTCATAGCATTCATTCTTGAGATAGGGGATTAAGGTTTTCTCGTGGCTCAGTTTTCATCTCAGTGCATGAACCTGAACAGCGAGCATCAGAGGCTCTGGCATTTATTTTGCCCAGCGGTCGGGCGGCCAATTTTATTTTATTTTGCAAGGTATTTTCAGCTCAAAAAGCAGCATTCAAGCTATCTCAAGCATCTTCATGGTTATAATATTCAAAAGCAAGTTTCAGAAGTTGAGCAGAGCTCAGAACAATTGAAAACGGACAAACGGGCATATTTCCCTCCAAAAGGCGCCAAAATTCAAATTTTGAAGGTGTTAACCGATTAACCAAGTCAAAATCAGGTCAAATCTGAAGTTTTGAAGGTGTTAACCGATTAACCAGTGCATGTTTTGCCTCTGCACGTGAATTTTCAATACAAACCACTTTGGGGTCCAATTGTGGTCATGTGCAAACCTGATTTTCACTTTGGGAAGGATCTAGAACATATTTGAATTGTGGTTAATTTCATTTTACCTCCAAATGCCCATTCCTCATTCCAACCTAAATTTCACAAACCATATTCCAAACGTCTCATTTGGATCCAAGCCTAAGTGATATTTAAGTGATCCACTCCAAACCAAAGGGGAATCTCACACAATTCACTCTCATTTTCAGAATTGATCTCATTCTCTCAATTTTCTCTCAATTTTTCTAACTCCAAAACCCTCACCAAATCTTTTCTCATTGAGATCATTGATTCTTCATTGGAATCCTTGATTTCTAAGAGCTAAACCTTCATCCATTCTCTCCATTGAATCAATTTCTTCATCCAATTTTCGTGCAAAATTGGATCTAAATCTGGAAGTGGTTTTGGAAGTGATTATTTGGCTTATTTTGGATTGATCTTGGTGAATCCTCACTCCTACAACAAGAACACATTTGGATCTTGAAGCATCTACGGTTTTCTTGCTCTGGTTCGCTTATTTCTGCCAAATCAACACTAACCGAAGCAAATCTCCGCTTTGTAGGTTGGAAATTCTTGATCCAAATCTGTTTTTAACTTATTTGCATAATCATGTAGATTTTCATCTTTGATTAACTTTTGGTTAATTTGACCTGTTTGATTCATGATTTGGTTGTGTTAATATGTTTACATGCTGTTTAAATCATGATTTGTTGGTTTAATTTCGTGATTAAGTGATTATGCGATCATCCGGTTGATCGGGTAAGTGCTTATTTGCTGAACATACTGTTCTGGTGCTGTTTTTCTGCTGTTGGCACAACGTTAATCAGTTAACACATTTGGTTAACCGATTAACCATTTCAGATATTCAAAATTTTCAAAGTTTTCAAGGTGTTAATCGGCTAACGCCTGGTGTTAATCGATTAACATGTATAAGTTTCCAGATTTTCAAACATTTTTAAGTGGTTAATCGGTTAACCTCTGGCGTTAACCGATTAACACTGTGCCAACAGGTCTGTTTTGCTGATTTTCTTGTTTGTTTGAGTACCGTTTCACATCAGATCATTATAGATCAATATGATGCATCAGGAGTGAAATGTTTTGGACATTTTGTCGCTGTTTTGATTGTTTAATCGGGACTTCGTCGACACACATTCGTTTTCTGCTTGGATACACATGATTGTATGTGTTGTTCAAAGTGATGATGTGCTTGCATGTTCATGTTTTGCTTGCTCTTATTGCATGTTCTTGTTTTTCATACGCATGCTTGAGGTTGAGACACGCTTATGGTGGCTGCTACCCCACACTACTTTCCTCCCTCACTTCATTCTACTTGTGCATTACGTGTTTGCATACTTGCATTTCCGTTTTCTCTTCTCTTCTTTTTCTTTGCCATGCTCCCCATAGGATCTCTAATCTCTTTTGAGGTTATGATAGACTTTAGGTTGGAAGCCATGCATGCTAACATTAGGTAGCATTCCCTAATCTCAATCTTAGGACCATTTTGCATGACAACTACTAGGTTTGAGTTAGTCTCCCTTTAGTTTGTCCTTTCTCCTTCTCATCTTCAAATCATGTCAAAACACATAATAAAGGTTAACGAATGTTGTGCGTTACGAGCCTTAAGTACTTAGGAAATGATGATTGGGTGGTTGCCTCTCAATTTTCTAGAATGTTAGCGTATGTCCTTTGGACGATATGCGACGCATTCGCTCCTAGGTCATACACTACAAGAAAAAAGGAGATTTACGACACTTGAGTTGCGACAGTTATCACATAACTGTCCTTATGCCTGGATTGCGACGATTGTCACGACAGTTAGGGTCAATTGTCGTAGATTTTTTACGGCAATTATAAAAAAAACTATCCTTATTCCTGGACTTCGACAGTTCTCACGACGGTATGAGACAACCGTCGCATATTTTTTAGGCATGTTGTATAAAATAATTGCGACAGTTACTAAAGAACCGCCCTCTTTCCACACTCGCGACAGTTTTGCGACAATTAAGGCGAACTGTCGCAATTACTTTAGCCAATCATAATCAGTATTTTTTTTATTCCTTTGATTTTTCACTTTTTTCTTTCATTTTTATTTTCCAACCTTTTCAATTTTATTTATTAATTTAATAAATAATTATTATAATTATCATGACAATATAGCTTAATATTTTTGTCTAAAATAATAGTAAAATATGTTCTATTTTATTATATAAATAGTTAACTTTTATTAAAATTAATTTTGGTAATAATAGTTAGCTTAATATATTTTTTAACATTTTAAGACTGTTGTGGACCTATCCGCCATTCTTAAACAACCATGACGACAACTCTTTCAATTCCGCTCAATATCTTTTTCTTCCATCAAACTCAAACCACACCCACTTCTTCATTTCTTCATCACCAAACCGTTAACTTTTCCCGCAGAAAAACCACTCTAAAAACCGCTTGTTCCGATTCACAACAAAACTCCCAACAACGACAAAGCCAGAGGAAGAAGAAACCGATTAATACCAATGATATTGATTCCGATGGTGAAAAGGGTTATGACCCTATTGGGTTTCTCGACAAACGTGGAATTTCTCATAAAGCATTTGCTCAGTTCCTCCATGAAAGGCAAGTAATTTAGTTTCCGTTTTGTAGAATTTCTGTTTGTATTATCTGGGTGTGTTTTGTTTTTGGGCTTCTCTTAGAAAGTTTCATTCTTTAGTTGAAGATGTAATTGTTATTACCCTTCATTCATTTACACTCTATGTTGGAACTCACAAACCGGGAGTTATGTGTAATTTCTTAAATAAAGAAGGGCCTAGGCATGTAAGAATAGTACAAATGGTTTCATATTGAATCTTTACATTGAATCAAAATGTGGGATATTTTTGTCCATGTGGCCGCATTTGCAGTTACAATACAGTTGAAGAGACCATGAAAGCACTGTTATATTACAGCCGCAATTGCAATTTAAAACTAATGAACAGAAGAGTAAGTGTTTTTTTATAAGAACATTTCCTACAACAATCTAAAGTGTAGGTTCGGTTGTTTTCTCAGATGTAGAATTGATTTTGCTTCTACAATTGATGATGGAGGAGTTAGGAGACATACCGGATGCAGAAACAAGTTATAAGGAATGGGCAGCAAAGAATGAACCTTCCCCTTATGCTGTAATTGATGATGGCAAGAACTACGACATATTTAATATGAAAGTTGATCCTGAATGGAAAGAGAGAATTCATGCACTGAAACCTCATATAGAGTATTGGCTTGAGACACGTAAACGCAGGAAGGCGTGGTTGAAGAAGTATATTCCTGGTATTCCTCATGGAAGCAAGTATCGGGTTTACTTTAACACTTCTAATGGACCGTTGGAGCGAGTACCTGCTTGGGCTACATATGTACAACCAGGTAAACCTTATGATTGATTAATTTTTATTTGTTTGCGTTTTATTGATTCTGCATTATCCAAACATTATGCATTCAGATTTAGATGGAAGGCAAGCTTATGCAGTTCATTAGGAACCACCCCCCTGAAGAGGCATACAAATGGAAAAATAAAAGCTCAAAAGTACCAAAGTCATTGCGGATATATGAAGCTCATATTGGAATCAGCGGATCTGAGCCAAAAATATCCTCGTTCAATGATTTCGCAGACAAGGTTCCGTTGTTTTTATTTAGTCCTTTGTTAAACCATTACGATTTATACATATCTCCGTTGTATAACCAACTTTTATTATATACTTAACACAGACTCTCCCTTACATAAAAGAAGTTGGTTACAATGCAATCGAGTTGATTGGAGTTGTCGAACACAAGGATTATTTTACTGTTGGGTACCGAGTAAGTTAAACATTGTTGTAATTCTTAATCAATTTTATGACAGTAATTGCATCTCGATTAAGCTCCTCTAGAATTTTGTTAAGTCGGAGATATGGATGGGTCAATTGTTGCCGTTTTTGGTCTTGGAACTGTTGGGCTTGCTGTGAGTTTCTAAAAAGACTAGTACCTATATTTTCGCTTTAGGTTGGTGTTGGAGTTTCTATTATGTCACATAATTTACACTTGACAGGTTGTTGAGGGTGCAAAAATTGCTGGTGCATCAAGGATTATCGACATAGATATTGATAGTAATAAGTTTGGTTTCACAAAAGCTAGTCGTAATTATTAATATTTAGTACCTTAATTTGTTTTTTTATATACTTTGCAGCGAAGAGCTTTGGAGTGACAGAGTTTATCAATCCAAAAGAACATGAGAACCCAATTCAGCAGGTTATAGTTGATCTCACAGATGGTAAAGTTGATTATAGTTTTGAATGCATTGGAAATGTCTCAGTAATCGAGTATCTTAAACTTTTGGGTTCTGAAGAACTTTCAACTGAACTTATGATTTTGAAGGACCGAATTGCATTGTCTACAGAACCTGGTAAAAAATTTCTTGGCTTTCTGTATAACATGTCAACATGGTTAAAATAATAGAGGAAAATGATAAAAATAGAGTGCTATTTATCAGAAAGTGACTCTTCCAATGCCACTTGTTAATGAATGCTTCAATTACTTGCATTTTCATATTTTGTTCTAGTGAGATTGCATTACCATTTTAACTAGGTAGTGAACATTAGTTCATAGTTATATTTTACTGTTATTCAATGTTATCAAATAGCGGCACCATGGCTGTTATTCAGTTTCAAATGTCTTCTGCTGAAGTCCATGATACTAGTGCCACTAATTCAAATGACGTGGGAAACAACTCTATTAAAGCCGTGATTACAAAAGCACCAAAAAACGTTGATGTTGTTTCTGCGCTTGTTGTTGGTGCAGTTATTTATGGTGTTACCAGCCTGGAAAGACTGGTTACCATTCTTAGGTTAAAGGAGGGGCTACACGTGATACAATTTATAAGAACCTCAAGATCCAATTCAAATGGAAATGCTCGTTCTGTTGGGGCTTTTAAGGCAGATAATTCAATTGAAGTTCATGTTCATTGATTTAGATTGCTTGTTGGGAACTGCAGAGCCCTCTGTGAAGGATTAGTGGTGGACCTCTTAGGTGAACCTTCTATTTCATCTCTTTTAAGGATGCAAAATATGCTTCCTCTAAGTTTTATTTTTCCACCCGCGTATTCAATATTTATATTTGTTAGATGGCGATCGTTCATTCTAAATTCTAATGTCATAGTTCGTGAAGACGCAAATCAACTTTATCAGTATTTAACAGTAGCCATAGTTGATGCTATAAAACATTCACCTTTTCGTGATGTATGTTTTCGAGACTGCCAAGGGCTTTATGATCTTATGGCTGCAGATAAAAGTGATGCTGAATTTGCAGCCCTACTAGAGTTGAATAGCTCTGATGTGCATTTAAAATCCATGGCTTTTGTTCCTCTTTGTTCCAGGCTTTTTCTGAATGCCATGATTGATTGTAAGATGCCACCATCTATTTTTACAAAGGATGATGTGAGTCATGTCTCCGGACCTAGTGAATCTAAGATTAAGTTTGCAAATGGTGATTCTAAGATTCAGGATAAGCTCATCCATATTTAGAGTTTATTTGTTCAACTAGTGAAATGGTGGTGGCTTTTGTTCAACTAGGATCTATTTTAGGGTTTTGTTTGTGGGATGTTATCACTGTATTCATTTGTGTGCAGGAGCAAGGAGATGGAGAGATGGTGAGTTACTCTTGCCATGGCATTTCAAAGCACACCGCAATCAAGATTCCGACATCATTTTGGATACTACCCATCAACAACTATGCAGCTGCAATTGGTGATGTGAATATCAATTTAAATGCATGGTTTATGTACTTATTTTGTAGTTTTATTTATTCGTTGTTGTTTTGACTCTGTTGTGTTCAAATTGTACCTTATAGTCTCAAACTATAATTTATTGATTTTATGCTTATATAAATGTCTGCTACCTGTTTGATAAAATGATGAGAAAAACATGTTACATTGCTTACAGTTATATTCATGGATATAGTGTGGAGCATTATGAATACATTAGAGTTCATTACTATGAAACTTTGAGATGGTGGAGAAAGAATTTCAGCAAAACCACATGTATGTCATTAACTTGGTTGTATTAGAGAAAATGTTGTCATTTCATTGATTATGTTTGCATCTCTTTTGTTAAGCAAAGTTCATTATGTCTGCAATTGATTTTAGACAACTGCCCCTGTTTTTACAAAAGGAGGCCTTGTAATCTGTAATTATGTATTAGAACTTTATCTAACAATTTGTCTTATATTATAGGATAGATTTGAAGACTGGGAATCTTCCAGTGTAAAGATTGTGCCTTTATTGTCTCAACCAAATAATACTTGGACCGGAGAAAGTGGCTTTGTACAGGTAAAATATGGGAAATGCAGGGTTAGATTTTTCACATGACTACCTTCAAAATGTTAACATTGTTTATACCATACAAAATTGTCTAGAACACAAGAAAATTCTTAGTTTAAGACTGCTTGAATTCTGAGTTTAAGACTGCTTGAATTCTTAGTTTAAGAACCTTAGTCACATAAAAGTGATTGTGACAGCAAAGAAGTGGTTGAATTCTATGTCAGCAGTGGATAAATCTTTTATTTTCATGTTTGCCGTGCTACTCAGGTGTTAGGGGAATCTTATTTTCCTTTAGTGTTTTAGTTTAACACAAATTATACAAAGGATAATTGGTTTTGTTAAAGGTTCTGCACGTCTCTACAACTTTGTATGCTTGATAAATACTCAGATTTACGGTAGCTAATAAGAACTCAATTTCTTGTCCAGGTTGTAATATCTTTCACTAAAAGGTATTACACGTATTGAACTAATATGGTTAATCATAGAAGCCAAAATGCATTAAGAACCTGGACTGGAAGTGATCTCAGTTAACTTGGAATAGAAGTGATCTCAATGTTAAAATTAATTTTAAGTTTGGTTCACTAAACTTTGTTACTACTGTCATAATTTAAATGTGATTTTATCATCAATTTGATTCTCTAAATCAACTTGATGCTTATGTGCTTATTGAGTTATTGAATTGATTTTTGTTATGAAAAAATAAATGGATTAGTCTTGTTGTCGCCATCACGACTTCGCTTAGTCTCGCTACCGCCATCGCCACTTTACTCACGAACTCGCTACTGCTGCAGTCACTTTGCTCATTGACTTGTTTCTCCCGCTGATACTCGCTCACAGTATATCTTCCAAAACTGTCTCATTTCTTCAATTGGTGTGTTTTCAAGCGTTCCTCCCACCATCACGGTATAACATGCATTTTAATTGCTTTACTTACGTGTTACAGGTTCTTCTCACTACTATTGAATGGGATGAATGCCAGTCCTGGTTAGGTTCACTGAAGCGTATGATCAAGACTAGGCAACATTTTGTTCGAGTCATGGTAGCTGTTGTACCCCAAATTTTGACCCCTTAGATTCTCATTATCATTTTTAGAAGCATGATCATGAATTATCTAACCCTAAATCAGTGCAAGTTCATTATTGTCAAGTTACAGATGAATCAGGGTTCTCGCACCGACAAATTCAAAACAACCAAGGAATGATCAACCAATGATTTGGGCCAATTCAATCATGGAATGAAATCAAAGATAATATCAAAGTCAAATGAGAAGTCAATTTGAAGAAATCATTTCAGAATCAAGAACA